CCCCTACCCCTACTCCTAACCCTACTCCTACTCCTTGCTGTAACCCCTACGCGTCCCCCACCCCTACTCCTACCCCTACCCCTACTCCTACCACTAACCCCTGCCCCTACCCCTACTCCTACTCCTACCCCTACCCCTACTCCTACCCCACCCCTACCCCTACTGTGACCCCTACCCCTTTCCAGGAAAGTTCTTCAAACTGATCTTTCAACCCACTGACTTGTTCTCCATCTGTATCCATTTACAAATCATGTTTGTTATTTCAATGACTTTAATTTTAAACCTCTTATTTCCACTTTCTTTTTGAATGACTTACTGATCCTGTTTGCGTGGCCTGTGCCATGTTTACTTTTGTACATTTGCCCAGTTATTTTATATTGTCCGTCCATCTTCTGTCCTTCTGCTTCCAACAGTACATGTTTTCCGGACGTTGTTACGTTTTGAGGCGGCTGCACTGTTCAGGTTTCCTGGCGTCCGGCTGGCGAGCTCACATCCCTGAGGATTCTGCTTCTCCTCTGGCAATGCATGCGGGGAGCAGTGGAGGGGTAGTCTCCCCGACAGAACCGAACTCACCCTGGGCTTGAAGGGACAGGAGTAAAGGAAAGGTGGTCCCCTCTGTTTTCCCGAACTCTTCGCCCGAGCGAGGCGGCACAGGCTGGACTCGGCCTTGCAGGGCATCCGGAAGGTCGCGACGCATCATGTGCCCTGCTCGTCTCGAGATGCTGGCACCCCCTCCCTGCGCTCGTTTGTTCAAAAATCCTCGTTTCCCGAAAACCGTGTTAACATCCACAGGGTTCCTGGAGGACAGTTTGGACTGCTCTGGCTTAGTGCCCAGCCCCTGCGGTCGTGTTAGGGCCCCGCCTCCGGGCCGTGCACCCGCTCTGGGGTACAGACGTGTGGGCCGGAGGTGATGTTCTCCAGAGCAGCTCCTCAAACGGCTGCTGGAGAAGGGGACCTTGCTCAAAGGCAGGCTCTGATCCCACAGGTCTGAGGGCCCTGACCTGCATCTGCCCCTCTCGGCCTCTGCTTCCCCTGCAGTGTGAGCGTGTGGGTGTGTGACACCCTGCTCTGGCTTCTCTGGGGACACGGAAGCCCGCGGTGAATGGTCCCAAGCAAAGCTGACAGTGATGGCCCAGGCTTGGGCCTGCAGCCCTGTGCGCCTCCACCTGCCCCGCCCCCGAGGGCCCAGACAATCACCGAGGCACTGGGGAGGCTCGCTCCAGACACCCTGCGGCTGGCAGACCCGGACGTGGCTGGGGGTGCTCAGCCTGTAGCCGTGGTCGCACGCGTACAGGGCCACCGAGCCGGGCCGGGTGCCGTTGAAGCGCAGCGTGGCGTGCTTCACTTCCTCTGGGGGGCCGCAGTCCACCTCTGCAAGGGCACAGCCGCCTGTCCCACACTGTCCTGCACCTGACCGGGCCCCTCCCCATCTCTGCCCTCTGCCCACCGGGCGGCAGGGCCAGGCGGGTCCCTCCCCAGCACCGCCCTTCCCGGGCGAGGTGCCTTGACCACGGGAACTGGCTGCCCAGGTGCTGCTTCCTCCCTCCCGTCCCGGCCCCGCCCAGCTCTGCGGGTCAGGAAGAAATCCCACCCCCACCCCAACCCTGTCCCTCTCACCTGCCTGGCACCGGCGTCCCATGTACCCCGCTTGGCAGTGGCAGGAGAAATCGGTGCCCAGGTCCTCGCAGGTGCCCCCGTTCACGCACGGGCTCCGGAAGCAGGGGGAGGGGGCTGCGGGACGCAGGCAGGTCCCTCCTGAGCTGTCTCTGCCGAGGCCTCCAGCTGGACAGGGCATCCTGCCTCCCACACCCAGCTCCTCTCCACCCTGCAGGGCCCGGAGCAGCCCGCCCGCTGGGCCTGTTTGCACAGCCACAGAGACTGTCCCCAGCCACGCCGGCCGGGTGGGGGCTGGCCTCCCACCTGCCTCACCGATCTCGCAGTGCCTTCCGGAGAAGCCCGGGGGACAGTCACACTTGTATTTGCCGATGTAGTGGAAGCAGGTGCCACCATTGTGACAGGGGCCGGAGGCGCACGAGTCTGGCTTCCCTGGAAGCAGAGGGCACCCTGCTGGGTGAGGTGTCATGACTCACCGCCCTCCCGGACTCCCTGACACCCCAGAGCTGGGACGTCTTCCTAAGGACGTCCCTGAGCAGACCCACGGCAGCTGGGCTGGGACTCGGGGCCCCGGCTCGGCTGGCCCAGCGCCCTGCCCGCCCCAGCCTGGGGCCGCACCGATCTCACAGTGCCTCCCGGTGAAGCGGTAGGGGCAGCTGCAGTGGTACTCGCCAGCCGCCTCCTTGCACGTGCCCCCGTTGCGGCAGGGCCCCGAGCTGCACAGGTGTGGCCTGGCTGTGACGAAGGACAGAGAGAAGGATAAACAGGGGCCAGCCCTGGCCCTGGGAGCCCACTACCCTCTGCCGGGTCTTCTCTGTCCACTGGCCTGAGGTCCAGCTGCAGCAGGGCCCAGCCAGCCGGGCACACACAGGCGTGGGTGGGCGGGGCTCACAGGCTGGAGACCCCCACTCAGCCTCACACAGCAAAGGCCCCCGTCCTCTCTTCTCTGCACAGAGAACCAAACCTGTCTGTCCTCCCACCTTGACCAGTCACACTTCACAGGGCCAGTGGGCTTAGAATCCTGGGACTCCTGGCGTTCTTGGGGGGAGGTATGCAGGAGGGGCCCGCCCCTGCCCCTGCCATGGCCACCCTTCTTTGCCCACCCTACATGCCAAAGGCCTCACAGGTGGCATGGCCAAGCTCCGCTGCCCCCTCGCTGAGAGCAGCCACCTCGAGTCCCCCCTTCGTCCCTCCTCTGCACCCAGAGGTGTCCATGCTGGTGGCTCCCCCTGCTCTGGTTAGCAGGAACCTGGGGGGAGGTCCGTGCAGTTGCTGGGGTGGGCATGGAACCATCAGGGCGGGATGAGCCCTGGGTGCTGGGGCCTGGCCTCTGCACCTCCCGGGGGGCGTGCAGCTGGACGAGGTCAGAGTGGGTTGTGGGGGCCGTGGGTGGTCCTAGGACCGTGTCGAGGTAAAAGACCTGGCAGCTCTTGCAGGGAACCAAGCAGTGGACCTTGTCTTTGGAAACCCCTCTCCCACTGCAGGCGTGGGAGGCCATGGGGGTCCCGGGGCTCGGACTGTCAGGGTCCTGCCCTCAGGGACACGGCACAGAGCAGCAGAGGTGCCCTGGGAAGGCTTCCAGGCGAACCCACCAAGGTGCTGGGGCTCCCAGGCCCTGAGCCCCAGGAGGACGGGCCGGGCCACGCTGGCGTCAGGTGGCACCCTTGGCACCAGCCAAGGGATGTCTGACGCGCTTGAGGGTCGCCGGTGGGAGTCCTGGGTGGGCGCTGGCGAGGACAGCTCTGCACGCCCGTAGCGTACTTACCAAGAACACTTATATCTGCATTAAGTGGCTAAATGTAAAATGTCTACATTCTCCCCACTGAGATTTAACTCAAGTCCTAATGAAACTTAAAAAAAAAACTTAGTGCAACGATTCTAGAATCTGTTTGGAAAAATGCTGAGCAGGAAGTGAAGCCTGTTGTGAGGAGAGCAGGGCTGTGACCCTCAGGCCTGGCACTGCCGCAGACCAGGGGGGCTAGCAGGGGGGCTAGCAGGGGGGCTAGCAGGGGCACCCACAGGGGGCTAGACCCCGCAGAGATGGGGCGCGGCAGCCAGACTGCAGGGGAGGTGGAAAATCCACTGAAAAAGCAACAGAGATGGGAGGACAGCGGACGCAGAGCCTCGCCCAGGAGCGGGCGCTCTCCAGGGTGCTGCCGCCACCACCCTACCTTTCTCGCAGTGCCTGCCGTGGAACCCGCGCGGGCACGCGCACGTATAGGAGTCGTCCTGGGCGTCACAGGAACCTCCGTTGAAGCAGGGGTCCGAGTCGCAGGGTGACGGCAGGGCTGGGGGCAGAGAGCGATCTGGAGAGTGCGCCACGTCCCCTGCTCGGCAGGAGGCTGGCAGGGCGCCGCGCCTGCCGGTCACCCTGACATCCTGTCCAGAACCAGGGCCACTTAAAATACGTCTGCGGGTGCCTCGGTTCTCACAGCGGGCTCTGAAGGCCTCCAGGAGGTTCTGTCATTCTTGGTTTGACCAGAACTCACCTTCCCCTCTGGGGCAGGATGGAGCTACGCCAGTGTCCTCCTGCATCAGTGCCGGCGTCACTGGCGTTACTACGCACGACTGCACGTGACGCACGGATCCTCTGCACACTAATGAGCACGTAGCAGTGGCTGTATTTAGTGACACGCACCTACTGGCCGTGCCGGGGGCTCGGGGAAGACCCCGTGTGGGGCTTGCGCACTTGCAAACGTGCTCTTCCCTCCGTGAGCTGACTCGGCGCAGCGCAGGACGCATCCAGCCCGCGCCACAGAGCGGCTGTGGAGGGAGGTTCCTACACGTGCAGGCTCGTCCAGAGCCAGAGGGCAGCCTGCCTCCCCCACCGCTTTCTCCTTGCAGACTCCCGGACCCTGGTTTGCGGCCAGGCCCCAGCCCCGCAGGCCCGTCCCCGAGCCACTCACAGTGACTGGCGTTGTGGTCCGTGTGGCAGACACAGAGGTAGCTCCCCCCGTACTCCATGCAGTAGCCCCCGTCCGGGCACTGCGTGTTCATGTTGCAGGGCATGGCGGTGACTTCTGCAGAGAAAGGAGGCAGTCATCCCGCATCCCACATGTCTTCCTGGGGACCTCGTGTCCTCGACAAGGGTGGGGCTCTCCAAGACCCAGTGACCCCAACAGGGCGACCAGGTTCAGGCACTCTTGCAGCGGCCCCTCTTGGGGTGGGGTTCGGGGGTCCAGGGCCTGCAGACCCTGCCCAGGCTCCAGCCACCACTCTGACCCTCACTACAGGGACGCTGCCTGCCCCAGCCCTGGCACCTACCAAATTCACAGAGGAGCCCGAAGAAGCCCGGGGGGCACTGGCAGAGGGTGGTGTTGGCGCCCAGGCATCGGCCTCCGTTGCGGCACTCACAGATGTTGGGGATTCCTGCCACGGACAGAGGGAGGGGCCTCCCATGTCGGGGTGCGGGAAGAAGGGCTCTCGCCTGCCCTGCCCTGCTCCTGGCCGCTCCCCATAAAGACTGCCGGTACACACGCTCACACGCGCACACACGTCCTTTCGCGGGTGTTTCCTGCACGCACAATCCACAGGAAGACCCTCCCTGGGTCTCCCGCCCTGGCCCTGGCACCGCGGCCCCGGCACCCCGACGCACTCTCCCTGCAGTCCAGGCCCATGAAGCCTTCGGGGCACTCGCACACGTAGCCCTGGTCGGCGTCCACACAGGTGCCCCCGTTCTGGCAGGGGGCCGAGAGGCAGGCATCAGGCGCGGGGTGGCTTCCTGCAAGAAAGACAGTGGTCACCGCGGTCACACGGGAGCAGGGCGGAGGCTGAGGGTGGGGAGGGGCTGGCCTCCTGCCCGGTCCCCCCATCACCTGTTGGGTTTTAACCTCTGTTCTCAGCACCGAGTGCGATTTATGCCAGGAGCTTGTTTTCTGGAAACCGACTTGCAGCTGCCGCACCCCCAGCTCAGCGTCTCCCGGCTCCTTCCCTGGGCGGGAGCACACGGGAGGGCCCAGCGAGGGCCCAGCGAGGGCCAGGGGCTCCAGACGTTTCTGATCAAGCCTCCCCATTAGCAAGCGCTTTGGGATTTCCAGGTGTCTCTCTGCTGCTGATTGCTGGTTTAGCTTCGCTACGGAAGAAAACACAGTCTTGCAAGTTCATTGGGCCTTATTTTCCGGCCCTCAGTGTGGCCTGTCGTGGTGCTGCCCATCAGCACCAACGGGAGAGACAGTGCTCTGCACACGCGGGGCTTCTGCTGCCCGGCTGAGCTTCCGTGTGCTGCGAGCGCTGGGGAGGAGTGTTGACACCACTGATAATTACGGCGCTTCTCCCTGCAGCGGTCAGCTTTGCCGCCGGGGCTTCGATCCACGCGGACAGGTGCGGGCATGTTGACAGTCACGTCTTTGTGACGAATTGAACCCTTTGCCATCATAAAAGCTCCTTCTTCATCCACGGTAATATTCCTTATTCTAAAGTTTGGTTTACTGGATATTAATATAGCCACTCCATCCTTCTCTTGATTAGTGTTTGCCAACTTACTTTTTCTTTTTGATTCAAATATTCAATTTCTTCATGTACTTTTTTTAAAATTTTTTTTTAAATTTCAGCATATTACAGGGGTACAAATGTTTAGGTTACGTGTATTTCCTTTGCCCCACCTGAGTCAGAGCTTCAAGCGTGTCCATCCCCCAGATGGTGCGCACCGTGCCCATTAGGTGTGAATATACCCATCCCCTCCTCCCCCTCACACCAGCCTGACACCCGATGAACGTTACTACTATACGTGCACTTAGGTGTCGATCAGTTAATACCAGTTTGATCGTGAGTACATGTGGTGCTTGTTTTTCCATTCTTGGGATACTTCACTTAGTACAGTGGGCTCCAGCTCTA